GGGGGGGGGGGGGGGGGAGTTTCAACACATTTTCTATTCTCTGTAATACACCGAGAGAAAAATATAGCTGTTTTCGAGAGGATAACAATATCCATTTTAACCACACAAATAGTCGAGAGAGCTATTTTTCCAGTGTTAATAATCTTACATGCGTGTTGTTACTACTATTTCTATAGTTATAATAAAAAAAGGATATTGTTGTCCCCGAAAAAAATATTTCGCGCATATATTTCGCTTCACATAGGGTTGCGAGATATTTAAGTACGGTTTTATGGCAGCATTTGTCAGTTTGTACTATCGACAGATGTGGATAATATTGTGACGATACCGTGGAACGATTTTATCGACATGATGCGTGTAAAAATGGTGTCAAGTTGGCGTTTCCGCGAGCATTTTTTCGATAATTAGCACTGGTGCATGCCGATTGTAGAATAACGGGATATCAGCGAGGACCCTCGCAACCAGGTCATCGATCGCGTCGGCCGCAAGGCGGATGTTTGAACAATTGTCGTAGCATCGCGACGATTTGTCCATGCTCGTCTTCTCTCTCTCTCCATCCCGTATGATGTAGCGAGCGCATCGCGACGCGCCGTCAGAGTGAAAACACAATGGAGAGAAATCAACGCGGTATGCTCGGGTTCAAATGGCACGCCATTTGTCCCTTTAGATTCGCCATGCGTCCTTGCGAGGAGGATACCTTTTATCGTTACTTTCGGCTTTACGTCTCCCACGTTGCGATCGTAAGATTTCAGGCTACACCCCTGTCGGAGGAGGGCGCCCTCTCTTCCTTCTCGAGGACTCGTCCGCGAAGAGGAGGGTCGGCCGGTGGTCATGAAAAAGGTTTCCGACTTGGCACCCCCGTTTTACGAGGAGACGCTTACGTTCCGACGATAAAGAAATTGTTTTCCGAGAGGGTCGAAGTTAAGGCCCGGTTTCAACGGAAAAGGAACGATGCAGTGTGTCCCACACTCCTTCTTTTTCCTCGAGACTTTGTCGTCTCCACTCCGCGAGCACAGGTCGGGCGCGTGAGGTGTCTGGCAACGCTTAGTTCCCGCGAAATTTGCGCGCCCCAATTGCATTTGCCATCGGTGGCAAATATTTGCTCTACCTCAGCCGGCAGCGAAAATAATAGGAATAAATCGTAATTTTAACAGCGCTGTTTCGTGTATTTGATTGAGCAACAGGTGATCAATTCATACAATCTCGAAACGTTCTCTTCCGCGTTATCATTCCGCGCTCATACATAATTGATAACCAAGGTTAA